AGTAACCACTAAACAAATGTGCATGTTGTATGTAAGAAAGTAGTCATTATTGTTAGTAACCACTAAACAAATGTGGTTGTTGTATGTAAGAAAGTAGTCATTATCGTTAGTAACCACTAAACAAATGTGGATGTTGTATGTAAGAAAGTAGTCATTATCGTTAGTAGCCACTAAACAAACATGGATGTTGTAGTGTGTGTGTGTAGAAATGTCTCAGGAGTTAATTTGTTTGTTCAATTTTCAGGAAGAAATTCTTGACCTTGTGGTTCAACAAGCAACAGAAAGAGTTCTGGCAGAAGTGAGTGAATTGAGTTTCCAGTATCGGGAGGTCAAACCATGTGTCTGTATGAGCCAACATGAAAATCGATCAAATAAGTCTGATGCAAGCGTACAGACTGACAGTCTTGCTGTGAATTCGGATTCTACACAGACGTATGCAACTGGAGAAATTTTATTTTCAGAGGTGTTTCACTAATGTGAAAGATATTCCACAAGCAGACTGGTTACGGGAAACTATAACAAGATTATTATAATAGCGACTATGGTGGATATACACGTGCTATAATTCACTCTAGAAAAGTGCTTTCATAAGTTCTTGTACCATTTATAGTAGCTATCAAAAAAAGGTATGATATTAGCCTTGCTAATATCCATTATACTGTCCAGCTGGTGGTGTGCCCCCCAGTGGCACAGCGGTATGTCTGTGGACTTACGACGCTAGAAACCGGGTTTCGATACTTGTGGTGGGCAGAGCACAGATAACCCATTGTGTAGCTTTGTGCTTAATACAAACAAACACCTGATGGTGCAAGTTATCTTTCTCTAACACTGGATAATGCTCTTTGTTAGTTATTTTGATTTTTTTCTTTTGTGGTTGGAAAGTCCTGATACGGAATGTTGTTAATCTAAACATTCTAATATTAACCAAAATGATAAAGAATTGAAAGAGGACCAAATTAAATTAAACACTGATCTGTTATAGGTTAATTAAATTAAACACTGATCTGTTATAGGTTATTTAGAGGATTGTATATTGTTGGTACTCTTTATTTGAGTCCTTAGTTAAGGAAATATTTATTTCACCAGTGTTTTGTTTTAAAATTAGCTTTGGAGACATAATTGGAGACAATGATTCATAAAGACATTACTAGTCAGTGGTTCCAGCCAACTGGATGGCAGCCTTGAACCTTCAGCTTCACAACTTGGTATGCTAACCACCAGACCATGCCCAATGATGTCATGAATAATACTAACTATTCTCGTATCCAAGCTTCTAACAGAAATACGTTTTGAATTCCTTTTGTTTCCAGTGAATTGTTAAACACCAGTTTAGTGTATAATGTTGTGACATTCCAAATATTGTACTGTTTCACTGTGACTGTTTTGTTTACCTATGTAATGTAAAACTGGGCATGGGATAATATGTCTAAGTGCTGTTGTAAAGTTCCACATGTTATTCAGAGTTTTTGTTCCTTTTGATGGTGCTATAGTAATAATTCTAATATTCCATGAGCATATAAACAGGTTATTAAAAAAGATGTTAATCACCATACAAAAGTTAAACTGTTGAAGGTTACTTTATCAGCAAGTTATAATTTGAAGGCTACCATAATAACTGCTGATAATTACTTGAAGGTTACCTTATCAATAAGTTTATTATTTGAAGGTTACTTGAATAACTGTTGATAATCACTTGAAGATAACATGAATAACTGCTGATAACCATATAAAGGATACTTTATCAGCAAGTTATTATTTGAAGGTTACTTTAATAACTGCTCATAATCACTTGAAGGTTACTTTATCAGCAAGTTAATATTTGAAGGTTACTTGAATAACTCCTGATAATCATTGATCTTTGATAGGTTGTTTTGGGCAGAGTATTCATAATGAATCTAAGTTTCAAATGGACAGCAACTGCCTATTGTAGAAACCTACAAATGTTGAGGACGACGTTTCGAAAGTCTTCAGGAACTGAAGTAAATATAAACCAATAAGTAAGCCACAACAATCAACTGAACACAGTAAATATCAACCTGCTAAGTAAGCCACAACAGTCAATTTAACTCGGTAGATATCAACCTGCTAAGTAAGTCACAACACCCAATTGAACACAGTAAATATCAATCTGCTAAGTCAGACACAACAGCCAATTCAACACAGTAAATACCAACCAGTTCAGTAAGTCACAACAACCAGTGGAACACAGTAAATACCATCCTGCTATGTAAGCCACAACAGTCAATTGAACTCGGTAGATATCAACCTGCTAAGTAAGTCACAACAGTCAATTGAACACAGTTAATATCAATCTGCTAAGTCAGACACAACAGCCAATGGAACACAGTAAATACCATCCTGCTATGTAAGCCACAACAGTCAATTTAACTCAGTAGATATCAACCTGCTAAGTAAGTCACAACACCCAATTGAACACAGTAAATATCAATCTGCTAAGTCAGACACAACAGCCAATTC